AAACATGCAGGCTGGAGAGATGGCTCAGAGGTTAAGAGCACTGGCTGCTCTTTCGGAGGTCCTGAGTTCAATTCCCAGCAACCACATGGTAGCTCACATCCATCTATAATGAGATCTGGTGCCCTCTTCTGGCCTGCACATGTACATGCAGACATAATAAATAGATCTTTAAAAAAAAAAAAAAGGAAACATGCATATGCACAAGACCGTGGTCTGGGCTGCCAACTTGTATCCATGGTGGTATCTGTGGGTGCTGGAGAGCTAGCCCTGCCTCTTGCCTGCATGAGTGGGTGCCGGAGAGCTGGTCCCATTCCTTGTCTGCCACCACATCCAGGTGGTGATAGGCAGGTGTGGCCCTGACCATCACCAACAGCGGCACAGTGGCACCAGTAGTGGCATGGGCACAGAAGAGCTGTCCCTGCTCCTCGCTGGCCCCAGCACGGTGCTGCCAGTGGTGGCATGGGTATGGGAGAAGACTCACCTTCCCTTCTGCTTGGGAGGCTGGCCGCTAGGCGCGTGAGCATGCAACAGTGAGGGTGTAAGAACATCACAAAATGGACATTTTATCTCTTTTTCCTTTCTTCTTCTTGAGGGAGGGAGGTCACAGGGAAGGGGGCAGACGTGAGAGGACTGGGAGGCGAGCATGACTTCGGTACATGAATTAAGGTTCCAAAATAGTCAATAAGAAAAGGAAAAAATAACTACAAAATAGAGGTCCATTGTACCTAAAGCGATCGATGCAATGTTATCTAAGCTTCAATGATGTGCCTGTATGAAAACAGAAAACTGCATCCTAAAATTCACATGCATCCCAAAGGGTCCCAGATATATGGAGCAACCCAATTCCAAAGCTAACTATAAATATTCTACAGAGAAACTCATGTGGTCCTGGCACAAACACAGATGGAGGGAATAACAGAAAACAAAAGGAAGTCCACAAAAATATTTGTTCATGTATAATTAAATATTTTCTGATGGGAATTCCAAGAAGAGCTTACTGCTGCTTCCCCCCATGAGCTGATCAGAGTCATAGTCCAGGATTCACTACCAATGACTTTGCACATTTTCTGCGTTTATGAACTATTTATAATTTTTAGTATTTGAAATTCCTTGTGGTGATTTGTGCTTATTTTTAATTCTGCTATTCTCCTCTTTACTGGTTATTTACTTATAGATCAGCACACTAACTCTTTGTTATAAAGAATGCTGGACCATCAACATGACTTACTGAAACTTTCTGTAGTGGTTCCAAGTGTTACTTTTGATGTAGATAAATCCAAGTGTAATAAATCAATCTATTTTCTATGGTATTGTCCTTAAGAGAACAGACTATGAAACAAAGCTGTCTTGAATGATTCCAAGCTATCAAGTAGAGACATTTTACAAACAAATGAATTTTCATAGTTGTCTGAAGCCCAGCATTACTAATCTTACATACACACACACCCCACACATACTACACCACACACACACACACACACACACACACACACACACACACACACACACAC